TAACAAATTAACTCTCCTAATGTCGGGTAAATGGATACTTGCAGCTTTGGTGAAAACTTTCTAGTGATAGCATCATGCACTGATTGAAAAGTGCTATGTCTCAGATAACTTCAAATTAAAGGTGATGTGCTCTGGAAAACAGATCCTGATACGGTGACAATATTTGATTTAGTGAATAAATTTTGTTTTTTAAAACAGTAATCTTTTTTCTTAGCAGTGTAAGGAATTATTTACAGTCCTCAGAACCTGCCCAGGAACTACTAGGTGAAAACAATACTTGGAAATTAAAGCTATTAATTATTATTGTTGTTCTTTATTTTAAATTTGCAGGAAGTTGTTAGAAATGACTGTTTAGTTTCAAAGCTATTCCAAAATATACCAGCAGATGGAGGAATTCTTTGCTAAAAAGGCTAATGTCTTTTGCTAATGAGATTTTGAAAGCCCGGCGGCAGCTTTTTAAAGCTGCATATTAAAGCATGGAAAAAAGCAAATAAAAACAACCGTTCCTGAATTTCAGTAATTTTCAGAATATTGCCAGAGGAAAGATAATGTGAATTAATTGATCACAGAGGGGAAAAAGAAGAATGTTGCATTTTTTCTTGCTTGATCTTTTTGCATCATAAAAATCTTACACAGTTATAAGTTCAAAATTACTAATTTCCTACTGGAGTACAGATAGGCTTATGAATTAAATTGTCTTTAACATTCCATTTAAAGCTTACAGAGTTTCAAAACCAAGGTATGTTCATGTTTTAAGTAAAATCGTAGCTTGTTTGGAAAGGAACATTTTCTGTCATGTAGGCTGATTGGTCTTTGCATTCCTGGTGGCAAAATGTTAACTGTTATTCCTATGGGTGCAAAGTTTTTCCATTACCAGTTCTGAGAGCTATAGGATTGAGGTAGCCAATACAATAGTAATTTTGTGAATTGATTAATAATTGATTTCAATTACAGATGTACTTTCAAACATATTTTTAATCTTCATTTCCACTAAGCAGTCTAAAGCAACCTTTGATTTACATACTGTTTTATCAGGCTATGTACTTTTAACCCATTTGACTTCAACTCAGGAAATGTTCTGATATTAAAATATATAAAATCAATAGTTTTTACTAATTTGGGGGCATAAATTATTATTTACTGTGCACTTCAAGTATTTTGGGGATACTTTCTACTGTGGTTAGTCTTGATTCATTTTGCTGATGGAATCAGTATTCTACTCTTCTGTTAAAAACATGACTATCTGTTCAGTGCTACATATAATTAACAAGTGAGAAGGTTGTTTTGTTTTTTAAAGATTTATCTTTGTATGCATACAAGAGCTGGGGTACAGGCCAGAGGCATGATGGGGGGATGGGGTAAGAGGACTCACCAGAGACAGAGTGGGGAACAGAACAGGCAGATTGACCAAAGTACACTGCTGAGGGGAGCAGCGGGCAAATCAGGAGAGGTCTGCTGCACCATGTGGGCTGCTCCCTGGCTGACTGGGAATCGAACTCATGCTGCAGTGGCTGCGGACAGCTTCATAGGTTGTGTCTCAACCCTTGCGCCACCAGGGAGGCCCTTGTTTTGTTTTTTTTAGGGCTGCTGGCATTTTGGTTGTGGTTACAGGGAAGTATCTTTCTTTTACATTACAGCACATAGAAAAACAGCTTTTAAGTAATAGTTTGAAGAAGTGTTCGGAGCTTTGGTTAAACAAAGATCACCCCATTTTAGCACCAAGTGTGTCTCTGTAAAATTGCCTTAAAGTAGCACCATCTCTTTCTGTTTCAGGTGAAATGGAGACAGAGAGCCAGCCCAAGAGGCTCTTCCAAGGCACTACCAATATGCTGTCTCCAGATACTGCGCAATTGTCTGACCTCAGTTCATGGTAAAAAATGAAATAAAGACAAAAGAATGTTATGGTATCATCTATTTTTAAAAGAGCGACACCAAAAGTATATTGTGATCATTTAAAGTAAATTCAACTTTTTTTCTGTGCTCTATAGTGGGGAAGTCTCCATGGAGGTGTAGATAATGTTAAGACACAGGTCATTTGAAAGTCGTGAGCCCTTCTTTTTAGAAGTGTGTTTATCTTTTGGCGACTTCATCGACTTCATCGTCATTCCCAGCACCCATTAGGTCAACTTTTTCAATAGGTGCTATTGGTGTGAGAGAGTGTCAAAAGGCTGGATGGCATGAGAGAGCTTCTAGGTTGCTGTGGATCAAGTACATTGACTGTAGCTGCTCTGCCTGCATTTTATGTTTACATCCTTTTGACTTACTAGAGAATACTGACATCTTCTAAACCATGGCATTTTCTAAATAACATAATCTATTGTTACAAAGCTTTTTTGAAGATTTTGGGACATTCTGCCACAATGCTAAGGTTTCATTTTTTTAGGTAACAATTCCTGATTCTTGTGGCCTAGTCACATATTCTTTTTTTGTTGTTGAAAAAATTGTAATGAATCTGAATTTTTTAAAAGATTTATTTATTTATATATATATATAAGAATTAGGGTACAGGCCAGAGGTGTGGAGGGTGAGAGGTTTCACCAGAGACAGAGTGGGGAACAGAACAGGCAGACTGGCTGAAGCACACTGCTGAGGGGAGCAGTGCGCAAGTCAGGAGAGGTCTGCTGTGCCATGTGGGTCACCTCCCTGCTGGCTGGGGATTGAACTCATGCTGAGGTGGTTGCGGAGAGCTTCATAGGCTGCATCTTAACCCCTTGCACCACCCGGGAGGCCCTGGATTTTGTTTTAAGGTGTATACAACAGCCCACAAGATTGTAACAACCTTCCAAGGGAGCAATAAATATGATTTCACCATTAAAGTAACCACTGATATCTTAATCCCAAGGCTGATATGCAAGCACACGTAGTCACATACATTTTCTTTTAGTCATACACATCCTAGTTTAGGTGTCTAATTTGAGGCCTTTTGATGTTTTTGTGCTGAAGTTAGCTTCTTTTTCTGTACCTGAAGTTGAGCACTTGGACATACATATTGGAGGGAAGGGGAAGGAATAATAACAGTGGCCAGGTAATGTTTTGACATCTTGCAGTACATATTTCTAATGAACTCACTAAGCACCCATATCATGCCTTTCCAAACTTTTTGTTCCCTAAATGTTATGACTGAGGGTCTTTTTAAAGAGCCCACGAGGACATTCACTTTAAAAATAAAAGTGTCGGGCCTCCCCAGTGGCACAGCGGGTTGAGCACAGCGCTGTGAGGCTGTCCGCAGCCTCTGCAGCTTGTGTTCGATTCCCAGCTGGCAAGGGGGATTCCCACATGGCATTGCAGACCTCGCCTGTCATACTCGCTGCTCTCCTTAGCAGTATATTTCGGTTGTCTACCTGTTCTGCTCCCTGCTCTGTCTCTGGTGAATCCTCTCACCCTCCCGCACCTCTGGCCTGTACCCCAGCTCTTGTATAAAAATAAATAAATCTTTAAAAAAAATAAAAGTGTGATGCCCTCTAAATGGAAGTATAAGCCACTTATCGGGTATACAGATTGATGGTTCCTTCTTCCCAAGTCACTTATTCATTGTTTTGTGTAAGAGAATTTGTACTTCTAGTTGACAAAGAAGTCACAGGATATTCTAGTTTATTAAACTCGTTGATCTGTTCTAACCTTGGAACAGATGCCTTTTACATTGTTCTAGCTATTTTCAGCCCCACAGTCTCCCTTCTCTTTCATCTCTGCCTATCCTTGGTAACTTGCTGTGCTAATTTTGGTACAGAGTGCCTTTCCAGGAACGTAGATGATTGCAAAAAGAAAACTAGTGGATGAAACTCAATACTTAGTGGAAACTGCATATCACTTTTATGGTAAAGTGTGTTTTAATATAGGCACATGCCATTATAAATAGATTTGCTTACCCAGTTACTATCCAAGTAACCAAGTTAGGTAAAGGATGTGAAAGAATTTTGCCAAGTTAAAATCATGCAGAGTTTAACAGAAATAATTGCTTTAGGCTAACTATGTAGGGTGCCATAAAAGAGGTTTATAGAAATGAGTAAGAAAGGAAAAAAGAAGGGGAGGTATTTAACCCAGGGTCGTCTCCCCTTGTTCGGATGTCTGTGAAGGACCTTTCTGATCCACATACACAGCGGGTGTTGCCTCACACTAGAGAAATTTGCTTTGTTCATGGCCATGCATAAAATGCTAACTAGCCAACATATGGCTCACGTAATACATTAGAAATAATAAGTTTATTACTCAAAATTCACACAATCAGGTGGCAAGGATATTTAAGAGATTAAACCTTCCCAAGATGTTTTTAGTTAGTTTATAGCACCTGGACTTTTGACGCTATTAAAAACTTAATTTCTACCTGATATACTAATATTGCTGACATTTACATCTACAACTAGAGATTTTAAATATGAGTTATCCCTGATATGTAAAAATTGGATCCTGCTTTTGCAGAAACTTTTTTCCCCATGTCTTTAATGCAGTTTCATAGATTAAACATCCATATTCTTAGCTATAGGGACAGAGACAGGAACTTTGCTATTCTTTTGCCAAGGATAACCAATCTATTTGATAACTAAGGAAATAATTTCTATTGTACATTTTTTAGGAGCATAAAAAGTATCAGATCATTAGTAGATATTTCATCATTTGTATTGTTATAGTTCCCTGCCTCAGCCCACAAAGAAAACATGGGTTTTAACTTTGAGCTTTTGATACTCGATTATAACCTTTAAAATCTGGCATCTTGGGGGAGGGGAAAAAAGGGGGAAAAAAATAAAATCTGGCATCTTTAAAGTATAAGTGAAAACATGAAGTTTGAGTCCAGTGTGCCAGCTGCTGCCTAAAGAAATAGCAGGCATAGTCTTTATGTCATATTTTTTACTGAATGAAAATTCTGAAATCTTGATCATCTAAATCTGGGAACTACTGTCAGCCACAAGGCAGGATTGATGTCACTCTGCATTTAGTCTTTGGGACTATCAAGAGTTTGATCAGAGCTTGGAAGGACACCTTTGCATGGGCCTTTGTAAATCTTCTTGCATGTGGGGAACTCTTATTCTGCCCTTTATTCTTTGGGGACTAAGACTATCCGTGGGGTGCTATACAAAATAAAGGCATTTTCAGGGCTGCTAGGTATGCAGTGAAGATTAAATGATAGTCTATTTCTCCTACAAAAAAACAGTTTCTCATGAAATTTCTTGCCCCTGTGCATCAGCAGTAACATGAATGCTAATTTAACCTTTATGGCTTTATTTTGTAACATTTTTCATTAGTTTATTATAGTGACTTTTTAATATTTTAATGTTTCATGTGTCATGGCAAGAAGTTTCATCATGGATCTATGACATACAAAGAGTAAGTTTTAATTATGATTTATGTACTAATAGAAATATCTCCATCTACTTTGACGATGTTTATGTGGGCAGCTTCCACATTTATACTGACACCTTTAAACTCCTATTCCCAAAGCAACCATGGAAAGGATCATATTTTAAATATACAATCTTAAAAACTTTTTTTAAAGATTTATTTATGCATACAAGAAGTGAGGTATAAGCCAGAGGTACAGGGAGTGAGAGGATTCACCAGAGACAGAGTGGGGAGCAGAACAGGCGTATCTACTAAAATACACTGCTGAGGGGAGCAGCGGGCGAGTCAGGAGAGGTCTGCTGCGCCATGTGGGTTGCTCCCTGGCTGGCTGGGGATCAAACTCGTGCTGCAGTGGCTGGCGATAGCTTGATAGTGCTGTCTTTAACTGCTGTGCCACCAGGGAGGCCCACAATCTCAAGAACTTAAAGGTTATATGGAAAGATAAGACTAGTCCTTCCTAAGGCAACATAATAGAGACCAGAGAACATACATGATGGACCAATTGAACCACATCAAGAGAAGTCCCATAGTCTTAGTTTATACCAAAATCTGTGCTGGGGTTGATAGGCCTGTAGCTAATTTCTAGTGCTTCTCTACTGCCCATTCATCTGGTAGAACCTACTTTAGTGAATGGACAGGGAACAAAGTGGCTTAGCACTTGGGTGATAGCACAAGTCACAGTGGACATTCTAGTTTTGTTACTACTTTATCATTTGAATGTTTTAATGATTCTCATACTTTCACCCATAGTTTTTATAGACACAGTTGTAAATATTTTTGGTTGTATGGCTCAAATATGACCTCAATATATGTATTTTTTCACTGACTGGAATAAATGAGTTCACTTTTGTTTCATGTACTCCTGTGTCCTATCTGAATTGTCTAGGTTCTTTGCTTTTCTGCCATTGTCTGGCTTTTAGTCATTAGTATAGGGCTCATTAGCTTCTCCATTGGAGCTTAAACTAGGAAAGAAAGAAGAAGGAAACTCAAATTGAACCAAACTTTGTTGCTTTTAGAAGCCCTGGTAAAAGGTTTACTAGCAGACACTGGAAATCACTTTCGTGTAGTGATTTCTTTGTGGATTAAAAAGTGAAATGCCTCTTACTTTATGCAGATAGACGAACAGTGAGTAATTTGTGACATGTAGCCTCTGCTTCCATGACTGTGTGTGGTAGTGCCAGATTAATTACAACAGAAACTAGATTTTATTTTAGAGAAAATATCTGGGTAAAGGTTTACCAAATTCTGAGTTTAAGTTGTCCTGAAGACTAAACGTAGATATACTATCTTTCTGTTAATGAACAAAATTATATACCTATGTATTTAATCATAGAGACGAAGTTCTTGACAAAATATATTCTTGAAAAAAATACAGTAACTGAAATGTTCAGATTTATGCATTTTTCTTGGCAACATCCCCGTCAGTGTATTTCTCTTAAGGTAATCCACAGTGTTAGAAGACAGATTTCATTGTGTAAGTCATGTTCTGTGTTTTTTTTTTTTTTAATGAATACAGGATTCACCTAAGCAAACAGATCTTAATACAAATGGAATCTTTTAACCCAAGACTAACCATAAGTCTGGTGGCTGGAATAAGAAAGTCTTTATTTATATTCAGATTATCTGCTTGGTGGCCAAATTTTCATCTTAAGTCTCTTTCTTCTTGCCAAATAGCATAGACCGTGTCCTTCGGCTGCCCAGTTTTAGGAAAGTAAATTCATTTTAATATTAGTCTAGGCAAAATGCTGCAGGAGGAAAAATCACATATGTTCCAAAGGTAAATATAAAGCTCTTTTGATTTTCCAATGTCTTAGATTATCTGTGCAACTTTCTTTCATTAGTTTGAATAATTCATATTTTTGACCCATTTTTGCCATTGGGCTGAAAAAATATCAGAGCCAGCTAAATTTTCCAAACTTCTTACTTAAAATTGGTGTTATTAATGATGCATTTGACAGCAGTGAGCATAGAGTAGTAGTGGTGTGGAATATACTGTTCCCATTTTTCTTTTTAGTTCTACAAAGCTGATTTGTATTCTGTTGCTACCTAAAAACCATCCACAGGCATTAGAAGGAGTTGGCAATTTGAAGAATAAAAGAAGAGAAGAAGGGAAGAAATTGCATATATTTCACTGAGGGTAGTATAGGGCCCAGAGACTTCCAAGTGTACCATAGCTTGCTTAATATAGAAATGCATTAACTTGGAAACTCCTAAAAGTGATAGTATTAAAGACTCAAAATATTTAGCCTCAGAGCATGTCAGACCAGGATGGACTTTTACGAAAGAGTTGGTGCACAAACTTAAACTAGTACCCATATTTCCTAATTCCTTTTCCAATTCCATGCTTAAGTTTCCTTTTCAAAATTAAAAAGTATGTGTAAATCTTAAAACTGCCTGGCTACCTCTCCAGTTTTGTTTCTCTTTGCATTTTCCTTTCTGTACTACAGCCACACTAGTCTACTTTTGGCTCTTAGAACTACTTTTTCTTCCTCCCAAATCTTACTTAATGCTACTCATCTTTCAGATGAGAGCTCCAACATCACTCTGGGAAGCTTAGTTCCTCCAAATTATTATAGATTAGGTTACCCATGTTGTATATTCTCAGAGCTTCTTTTATCTTTCCTTTATTGCTTGATCATAAATTGTAATTATATATATTTTAGCACCATTACTTCAATATCTTGTCTTCTGCACTGTACTGTAAATTTAATGAGAGCAGGGACCATATCTGTCTCATACACCATTGCATCTCTAAATATCTAGCCTACTTCTGGTACTTAGCAGGTACTCAAAAAATACTGTATTAAATGAATGTGTGAATTTGGCCTGATATAGACACATAGAGCTTATATGTTGACTTGATGGGAATCAAAACCAAAAAGGCAGCTGGGTGCCAGATTATGAAGGCTCTTCATTGTGAATACAGAACTCTGAAGCCAGATAGATGAGGTGGGCCGGAGTGGCTGTTGGGAACTGTGAGAGCCTGGGCTGGCTGGGTCAGGTATCCCTGGGTTGGGTTATAGAGGCTTTTCGTGGGATTATGCTCAGTGAAATAAGTCAGAAAGAAAAAGAAAAATATCAGATGGTTTCATTTATAGGAAGAACATAGGGAAACCATATAAGGGATCAGGGGGAAGAAAGACGAAACTAGCAGGCAAACAATAAATTGGAGACATTCATCAGGGGAGGAGGAGGGAGAGGGATCAAAATAGGAGGGAAGAGCACAAGAGCCCCCATGGTGATGGCACACGTGTGTCTTGGTGGTGGGAATTTTATGGAGACAACATCTGAGAGGAGAAATGAAACATTGTAGAAAAATGAACAACAATGTAAAACTATATAAATAAACACATTTTTTAAATAATAGAGGCTCTTTATGCTCAGATTAAAAGTTTCAGTGGGAGGATAGGAGTAGAAGCCAGCTGTCTGGATTAGAGACAATGGACTCTGAGGTACTGGTTCTGTGGATATAGAACATTCCTTTTAGAAATTTAACTGGATGGTAACTGAAGGACTCAGAGAAAAAGGAGTATTTTGCAGATAGTAAGGAGACTTTGGGGTTTGGAAAGAGGAAAGAAAATAATGTAAGAAATTCATAAAATGAAAAGAATATCAAAGGCAAATAAGGAGGGGGAAAATGTGTTTGATTTGTACACCTCTTGGGAGTGGGAAGTCATTAAAATTTAGGGCAGTTGAAAGTCTTTGTTCTGGAATACAGGAACCATGAAGTAGTACACTTCTAGAATGCTTCAGACAGCCTGCAGTACCTCCATGAGTAGCCATTACTCTTACTCTAAGGCTGATGGGAAGGTAAGAAGATAAATATAAAAATAGAAATCGCTTGAGCTGAAGATCAGGGAACTCAGTCCCAAAAACCAAGTCCTGTCACGAGGAATACTTGCTGTATATTGGACCTTCTGGTGCCTCCAGGGGAGCACTCAAATGATACAGGATCTTAAGTGTCTTTGGATTTCTGTGACTTTGTCCTTTTGCAGGTATCTGAATATAGTACATTATGTGGTACATTGCTGTTGCTTTTATGCTTTTTATTATTTACAAATAGCTTACTGATTTGTGATTCTTGGAACTGTGTTGTTGCATGTTATGTTTACCTTTACCCTGATAGATGCATCTGCTTATAATTCTTTTTGCTTTGTCCTCAGTTCAGATATTTTGGATGGCAGTAGTAGCAGCAGTGACTTATCCTCAGACTCACTGGCTAAAGGCAGCACAACCGCAGAGTCTCCAGTAGCATGCGCCAATTCATGCTCTCCGTACATCTTGATGGATGATCTCTCACCCAAGTGACTTACCATTTCTGATTCAGCATTTTAACTGCTGTTTCCTACATAAAACATTCATAAAACAGAAACATAAAATGCAGAGAACTTTGATCCATAATGAGGATTAAAGTGTGATAGATTTAAACCATTTTGATGCTGTTATTCTTGGCATCTCAAAAGTTCCATTTTGTGAGTGTAGTGACCTTACTGTCTTTTTGCTGATCTCATTGGATCTAGCAACTAAATCTCAAATACTCATTTTTTTAAGCACTTATAGCATATATATATATGTATTTTATTTTCTCAGTGCCTCAAAGAGCACCTATTTTGAGTCTATACATTTAAGAAAAGCACTGGTGTGTATTTTTGCTAATGGTTCTTTTTCCCAGCAGTGATGAGACAGCTCAAGTTGATCAGAAATTCTCTTGCTTGAGAGATTTTTCTGTTCTCTGTTAACTACATAGTTTCAGCTCTCTTTATTTCACAATAATAACTGAATTGCTTTTGACTATATTAAATTTTT